TATATATATATTATATAAAATCATTATATGATAATCTAATTACAACATATTTATATTTAATTTTTTCAATAAATTTTATATAGTTTCAATTTCCACATTTTTATTTTTCAAATGAATATAAAAGAAAATTAAATAGTTAGAATTACTTTTAATTTTATGTTACTAAATTTTCTTTTAATTTAATTATTATTTTTAGTATCAAAATGAGTATTTATTTTACTATCTTATAATTTAATATATATCATACAAAATTATTATATGATAATTACACTTTTATAATATAATAGAATTAAAATTATCAAAATACACAAATAATTTAATTAAAATTAATATATATAAGTATTCAAGTAATACTTTTATAAAACGATAGTACCAATATTATCAAAATAAATAATTAAAATAATAATTTAATTTTAACTTTAAATTATTCTTTTATAATACACATTGTATCATCAAATATTTTTTGTAAAAAAATAATACGTATTATATGACTCAACTACTAGTTTCATAAAAATGGCTAAAAACATGTAATTTTTTTCTTTTTTTTATTGAACCAAAAAAGGAAGCTCTGAGGTATCATCACTGCCTCTGTGGGCCCAGGCCCCGGGGTAACCTGTTGCCGGTCTGATTTGGCCCAACCCATAGGAAGGGATCTACCACCGAGGCACTAATGGAGTTCAACCATACGCCACAAACGCGCTGAAGGTTTGAACTGAAGTGCAGAGCGGGGTCTCAAAGAAAGCACTCCCGGCCCCCTAGGATTCAACCTTGGGTCAAGTGGGTTGCTTTCTTCATCAGGGCACCACCCCGGTGGTGCTAAAAACATGTAAATTGATCACACAATCCTATACAATCTAATCAATTTAAGTGTAAATAGAACAATATCTCTATCCAAATCATAACTACTAGATAAGTCTAACCAATAAATAAAATTCAAAATATTTAATATAATTATAATACTGATATTCACAATTATCATATATTTATATATTTTTTAATTATGCATTTTTTTAAAAGAAAGATATTTATTGTTATTTGTTATTTTTTATTTTTTTATAATGGAAGTACTGGGTTTTATATATAGGGGACGTATGTTTTATGGGATTAAATTTTACGTTTAATAAAATTTACTATTATAGGGCACGTTTGTTTCATGGGAATTGAGTCATGTAATTCGATTTTTTGTACAATAAAATTTAGGATAAAAATATGATGTTCACACTAATAATTTATTACATTACCATTCATCTTGATACATTTCGTCAGAACAAACACGATCCAGTAGGTGAGAGAAAGCGAGAGGATGATAGTGATTGGTGGAGGAGAAGGGTTCCAGTGGGTATGCCTAATAAAGCCTTCATTTGGCATGTCAATTTTTTTTATTTTTTAATTATTTTAATCTTTAAAAGATAAAATAAATTTTTTAAATAAAATAAAATATTATATTTAAATCATAATTATTATTTTTTTTCTCACCCAAGTAAAAAAACATAAAAAATACCTATCCCATACAAAACTTTTTAACTCCATATTAAAATAGTCAAAAAAAAAAAAAAACTAACTCTTATTCCAAACAAACCCAGAATTATATTTAAATAAATTTTGTTATTAAAAATGTAATTTTGCTACTAAACAATCTCTCTATCCGTTACTCTCAAAAACTCCTTAAATTCCTCTCCCCTCTCTCTCTCTCTCTCTCTCTCTCATTTCCTCTTCTATTCTATTCAACCTCTTCACCAATTTTCCCGGATAGAAAAAGAAAGAGAAACAGAGAACGAGTCAAAACAAACCAAACCCCCAAAATTCACACGAAAAAATAGACTCAAAACCAACCGTTTCTAATGCTAACAGTCTGTAATGTAATATATCAAGCAATTAGCTCCTTCCTGAATTCTCTCGCCGTGTTTCATTCAGTCGGCCGCCGATTCAACCCAAACCCACCTCAAAATCTTCCCTCATGGAAGTCCCCATTTTCCCTCTAATTTCCTAGCACTGGTACAATCAAACCCAAACCATTCTTGGGTTTCATTCAATTCATCGATTTGATTCTGGGTTTTGAAATTAGGATTATTCAACAACGATGACTCGACAGATCGTTCTCCGCCACCCCTCATCGGTGAACAGGAGGCAGCCGCTTCTGGCGAATAAGTCGTCGCGGTTCTCGTCGTCGTGCGCCGTCGTGGGCGGCGGCGGCGGAAGGGGAATAGGGGAGGTGGTGGGAGGGACGACGGCGGAGTGTGCGGCGGTGTGCTGTTGCTGTCCATGTGCGTTGGTGAATTTTCTGGTGCTGACTATGTATAAGTTGCCGGCGGGACTTTGTAGAAAAGCGCTTCAGGAAAAGCGGCGACGTAGGCTTACGAAGAAGGGGATTTTGCCGCAGAGAAGTTGTAGGTGTGATTGTGGGTGTGATGATACGGAACTGCAAATACATCCCATCGCCGTTGATATGTCGCCGGCGGCGGATAAGCAGGTGAAATCGTTGCAGACTGATAAGGATGTGCTTAAGTTGGAGAAGGAGATGTGGGATAGGTTTTATGCTACTGGCTTCTGGAGAAGTCCTTCTCAGAGATACAATCCTTAAAATAAAATAAAATAAAATAAAGTAAATAAATAATTACTGTTTTTGAAAAATAAAAACAATCTCGAGCAAATACATGGTGGTAACTTTCCTTTTCCTTTTTTTTTTTTTTCTTCCTTTTATTTATTTATTTATTTTTATTTTGTTGTGAAATTAATGTGATGCTGGGATGAAACTAAGGAGAGAATGTTTTATTGCTATTATTATTATTATTTATTTGTTTTTATTCTTGTTTTTGTTTTTGTTTTTGTTTTTGTTTTTTTTCGTTTATCATGTGGTGCAGGATGATTTTGGTCAATATTGATTATATTATGGCCCTGATTTTTGTGAGAATGGAGATTCTGTATATGAATTGAGGTTTGTATTGCAGTACTTGTGTTGTAAGTTTGACAATGGGTAGTTTGTTGTTCACAACATTGAATTGGGAGGATTTTTTATGGGGGAGAATATAAAATAAGTGAAAAAATATTAAAATAATTTTAAATATATGGAAGAATAATATTTTTTTGTGCAAATTAGTATTTGAATTTCAAATTATTTTATCATCTTTTCAGTTTTTTGATATCATCCTTTATTTTTCTCGGATCCTAGATCTAGGATTCTTAAGCCGGTGTTCAGCTTGTGATGGATTTGCTATGTAAATTAGTTAAAGTTTAAATACAATTTTAATTGTTTAGATTTTCATGTCACTCTTGAATAACTTGTTATTTGACTATACCAAAAAAAAAAAAAAAAAAAAAAAAAAAAAAAAAAAAAAAAAAAAGCTTCTCTACCGTCTGTAATCGAGCAGAAGGGTGCTATTGTCGTACGGTGGGTCCTATTTTAGGCTCATCTTGATTAGGAGTGTGTGGTGTTGTTCGGACAGTTTGAAAATATAATTATAAATTAAATCGTGAATAACAGGTTGGCAAATAACAAAATAGCAGTTTGGATTGTTTGGGGCAATTTCAATTTGTTAGTTGATTAAAAAATATTTTTAAATAATTATTAAGTATTTACATAATATATAACAGTAATTTATATAATATTTTTTATATATATAACACAAATTAATTATTCAATCAAATTTAAATAATATACTACTTGATTTAACTCTACTGATTTTTAATCCTATGTAAAACTGTTCATATTGTTGATGGTTTTAATTTAAATAAATATTATTGGGATTTATATTTATATAATAATTATCATGTTGATGTGAAAAGTGGGTTTATGCTTTTATTTTTTTGTTATATAAAAATATGTATAAAAAAAAAAAAATTTGTGTCAGCAGAAGTATGTGTTTTGCTGACTCTTTTTTGGTTCTATGTTAGATCTATTTTAAAATTGTCATTTTGTTTTATTTATTTATTTTTTAAAATTACGTGATCAAGTGGGTTTATCAGATTTGTCATACTTAATTGTGAAGAAAGAAAATCCAAGAAGTTTAAAGAAAGAAATGGGTGACAAAAGACAAATTAGTTACAAAATTAAAAAAAAAAATAAATTCAAACAAAATATAACATCAAATTTCATAATTATTTTACTTTTTCTCTCATAAATATCACATCAAATCACAAAAAAATCTAACTATCTTCCCAAACATAAAAAAAAATTTCTCTAATAATATCCTACAACTAAAAAAAACCTACAAAAAAATTCACTTTCCAAACACTCACCATATATATCAATTAATATACTAACTAATATATTAACAGATGATGTAGCATATAATATTAAAAGTTTTGAATATTTATAATTTGTATAATAAGTGAGATCAGTAATAATAGTATAATACTAATTAATATGTTAATATATATATTAATTGGTACATCAGTAAAATAATAATTTAAGATTGAAAGATATTAATGTAAGACCCTAGGCCCCACGTAAAGTTGTGTTTGGTAAAAATTATTTGCAACTCAATTAAAGATATATTAAACTCAAGTTGGAGGTAGTTATTGTTTTTTTGTTCTCAAAAACAGCAAAAACAAAATTGATATGAAAGATCTAGATTAGGAAATGATTTTTGGTATTTTTTTATAGACTTTTTTTTACAAAAAATAAATTTTTATGAAACACTTGTTAGTTGCTTTGTGAATTTTGAAAATTTATTTCATATCAAACAAAATGATATTATATTGTGTTTTTGAACTTTTTATTATTTTTATTTTTTAAAACATGGAAAACAAAAATAAAAAGATTGAAATTTAAAACAAAATCGAACAAACAACTAGCTTTTTGTCAAGAACTTCTAGTCCAGTGGCACTTCCCAAATTTGCTCACATGAGAGTTGTGGGTTCAAATCTTATCAGAGGCGAAGGTAGAATTTGTACCATTTATCACTTTTTGTAGGTTCAAATCATCTGCTCTTCTCACTTTGCAGTGACTTCTCTTTTCCCATGCCATTAGAAATATGCTAAATATATAAATTGTATTTTGAATCCTCAAAGATTACAAAAAGAAAAAAACTAAAATTTTGTGCTTATTTAGAGTTGAAAATTAAACAACTAAATTGTTTGTAGTTTTTCTTTCTATATTTCTCTTATATTGATTGTAATAGTAAAATTATGACTATAATGTTGCATTTCTATTTTATAAAAAAAACTATGAAATGGTAAAAATAAAATAAAAATGTTATGAATTTGGGGCTCCTCCTAACCAAAAAATGTGAATGAATAACAATAATAGTAGTGACAATGGAGACAATGATGTTACAACTAGGCATCATATAACCAAGGGCAGACCTACGGCTGGGCATATGTGGCTGTTGCCCAACCCAAATTTTAAAAAATTTGTAGAATTTTTTTTCCCAACCCAACCTAGCCACCCAACCCAGCCCCAAATAAGAGCCAATAGTTTTTTTATTTGTTTTTTAGATAGACAACCCAATACTTACCCCAAAAAATAGATAGGCAGCCCAATAGGTCTGTATTTGTTTAAACAATAAATCTTTTAAAACAATCCTCGCATCTTTCAATAGATAGGTGGTAACTCTCTTTTCATCGTCTCCAGCAGCCTGCAGCAGCTCCACTTTTCTAACATTTTTTGTAAGTCTAATTAACCAATTATTTTATTTCGTTGGTTGAGAATGGATTTGATTAACAATGGTTTTGAAATTTTGTCTTTATGCAACAAATATTATGTTGCTCTTAGTTTTTTTATGATGATGCCTTGTTCAATGTTCTATACTGCTCTTAGTTTTTGAATTTTGAAAGAGTTTTTTTGGACATATATGATATATAAAAATTATTGAGGATATATATAAAAACCCTAATATTTAAAATTATTGCGAATATACTTTGGTTTAATATTAAATAGGGCTAATTTTTTATTTATTTTTATTTTTTTAGATTATAAATAATGGAACCTTCACCACTCAAAAAAGGAAAACCATTTTCTCATTCTGTCAATCAAAACAGAAATCTAGTAGTACAACATCCAATTTCATGCCTCAAGCAGATAAACCAAGCAAATTTGATTCACCTGTTATTGAAAATTGATCTAGATTTTGTAATTGATGAATTCGAATCTTTAAAGGCTCGTCGAGCACAACTTAGTTAGATTGTTTCTAATCAATAAATTTAGATATTAATCTAGATTATATTATAAAATTCTCTTTTTTCCTATGTGGTTATACTTAAAATATATTGTATAATTTTACCTTAATATTAACCCACCCCATTGACAAATCCCGGGTCCGCCCTTGATTATAACTATTGGGATATTGTCTATGTTAGGAAAATTATTGGTTGGTTTTGGGGGGCCACATGATCATGTCCCACACAAATCATAATTTATCATGCCTCTCGTGTTTTCCAATCACTCAATACAAACAAATACCACGTGACGGTACTCCAAAACCAACCAATAACTTCTCCTATGTAAGAGTTTCCTATGTAAATTTTACCCTTTATTTTGGGCTATACCTAGCCAAACTACTTGTATATTTACACTTAAAAGTTGTCTTTGGATTCCTTGTCCGATTTCTACACTCTGTTCACTTCATAAATTTAAATAAAAATTTAAAAAGGAAACTAAAATAGAGAGGTAAAATATTAGTGAAATATAATTTTATTTCGCGTATAATTCACATATTTTTTTCTTTTTTAAAAAAAAATCTCTATCCAAATTCACAAATTAAACACAATCTTATGAAATTTCTATTTTATCATATGATCATAGTCGAAAAGATTTGTTGTAAGATAAAAACAAAACTTGAATAGGGGCATGAAGTTTCAAATTCATTCTGTGTTATATGATTTATTGTGTGATAAAAAGGAGAAAATTTTGAAAGAGAAATGAGATAGAGAATGCCACAACGTTAATCCGATTCTCTATCTCATTTTTATCTTTATATCGCAAATTTTTATTTTATCATACAATGGTAGGAAAAAAACTTACTGTGTAATAAAGATAAGATTTTGAATAGGAGTACAAAGTTCTAAATTTCTCCTATCATATGATTTATTGTGTGATAAAAGGGAAGACTTTGAAGGAAAAATGCAAAAGAATCCTTAGGGATGAATCGGATTCTCTATCTCATTTGTCTTTATGTCTCCAATTTTTGCTTTTTTATATGGTCATAGTCGAAAAGATTAGATGTTTAATAAAGGCCAGATTTTATTGTGAGATAACAGAGAAGATTTTGAAGGAAAAATGAGAGAGAATCTCTTGATATTAATTGGATTCTCTGTCATTTGTTTTTGTCTTAAATTTTTATTTTGTTATACAAGCAACTTATTGTGTGATAAACACAAGATTTTGAATAGAATTTTAAAATTTTAAATTTCTTTTTTATCGTACGATTTATGAATCTAGGGTTGGTGTTATTTTTTTTAGGCACAACACTATTTATTTTAATAATTTAAACTGTTTATGGCATAAAATTTGTTGAGTAGATCATCTATGAAAAAATTTAAATTAATTAGACATATATAACACACAACTAGACCATGTTTATGTTTAGTAAAAATAAACAGCTAGCATGATTTTTATAATTTTTAAGATTATTATTTAGGTTG